ATATATATATATATATATATATATATATATATATATATATATATATGCTTTTATTATCGTTTCATAATTATTCTAACTGTAAAAAAAATGGCCTTTTTATTTAGACAGAAAAGGTAAATTGTTGGAGGTTGCTCTGATGAATGCTACTAGCCCTCAAGATCTGGGCACACCTAGTCTTGTGTAAACCTACCTGATTGGCTGATTAAACAGCCTATAACTGGGCAGGGCAGAATGGGGTGGGCGTGGCTAATGTTCCTGGCCTTTTACATTGAAGAGAGAATCATGGGAGACAGACGGACAGAAGAGAGGAAGAAGGAGGACAGCATAAATGGGTTAGCGTGCAGAAGAAATCACGTGGGCCTGGAGGAAGGACTCCAATAATGGCATGAAAAGCCCCAGATGAAGAATGCAAGCACGTTTTTATGGTTATGGATGGAAGATAGTTCAGATGAGGAGGATTAAGGTGGATGGCATTGGAGGAGGCTGGGAGATGGATGGTGAGGATATGAGACAGTGTAAGAGAAATATCTGCTCGGCCCAAGATAAATAAGGCAATTATAAATCTAACAGGTGCTTGTGTCTTATTATTTTTGTTAGCAGGTTAAATGATACCGCCGTGATAATCTTAGGGCTAATAATAAACATTAGATAGCCCAACAGCCCTTTTTTTTTTTTTTTTTTTTTTTTTAGATATTACAACAACATCCAGCCTGGGCAACAGGGAGACCCTGTTTTAAAACAAAATAAATGAGATGAGCAAGGTGGTACATGCCTTTAATCTTAGCACTCTGGAGGCAGAGGCAGGCAGATCTCTGTGAGTTTGCAGCCAGTTTGTTCTACAGAGGGAGATCCAGGCCAGTCAGAGCTACATGGTGAGACCCTATCTGAAAACAAATAAACAAATGAAAAATGAAACCTGCTGTCTTAGCTGGGTGTGGTGGCACATGCCTGTAATCCCAGCAGTGGGGGAGACAGAGACATGTGAATCTGTTGTGAGTTCAAGGCCAGTCTGGTGTACAGAGTGGGTCCAGGACAGCCAAGGCTATACAGAGAAATGAAGTCTCAAAAATCAACAAAACAAAACAAAAGCCAGGCATGGTGGCACACTCCTATAATCCCAGCACTCAGGGAGGCAGAAGCAGGTGTATCTCTGTGAGTTGGAGGCCAGCCTGGTCTACAGAGTGAGTCCAGGACAGCCAAGGCTACACAGAGAAACCCTGTCTCCAAAGGGGGGTAGGGGAGAGAGAGAAACCGGCTGTCTTACTATGAGGACCTTAGGAGAGGTTTAGCATCAACAATTCATTGGCATTCTTTATGCATGAGAAAGAAAGAAAGGCTCAGGAAAGGCCTGTGGTAGCTCCCCCAGGTCAGCAGAGCCACAGTGAGAAGGAAATGCTGTGGAGGGAGCTTGCACTCACCAACCAGCTGACCAGCTGTTTCTCTGTGACCCTCCACATTCCAGAGAAAATGCAGTGGCTTCTAAATCCCAAGGAAAAAGTTCGTCAGGTAGCTGGGCTAGATTAAGCAGCCACAAACACTGCAGCTCTGCTACAAAATTTCGCTGTATAGAGCCCCAATGGGGGTGAGACTGAAATGAACAAGCAGCAGCCAGATGCGCAGGCCACTTGAGAAGCTGAGATAGGAGGACCTCAAGTCAGCCTGGGCTACACAGAAAGACCCTTTTCAGAAAGAGAAAAGCGACGAGGAGAGGCCAGAGGGGAGGGGAGGAAAGAAGGAAGGGAGAGGAAGGTCAATGCTCCCCCTCCTCCAGCACTGAGGAGTTTTCGAGGCTGGCTCAGAGCAGCTGTACATGAGCATTGGGGGGCCTTATGACAGGGCTGACCGTGTCTGAGAAGCTGCACACTCCGCAGGAAACTGCCATGGTGGGTGTGCAAGAACCTGCCATTCCTTCAACTCTGGTAAAATCTTTAATATTTCTCAGCAATTCTTCACTTGCTCCCACTGATGCTTCTCCTCCTTGAAAGTACCAGCCCCCACCCCCCTACCCTCCAACCCCGCTGCCCTGCTCCAGCCCCTTCTGTTGGTGCCCAAGTACTTCTTGGCAGTATACCCCACCAGGTTGTATAAGAATGAGGTATGGCCACTTCCGCTAACTAGACCTTTTCCTATGTCTCTGCATGTCAAAGGTCTGGGTTCCTCCAGCAGCTGACCCGGCCATATAACAAGAAGCAGGGATGCTGATGCCGATGACAGCCCTGTATTTTAGCACTGACTGAGATGAGGCACGGTGGAGAATTCTGGGTCGTAGCCCCAGACATACCAGCGCGTGGGCATGACAGCTTGCTGCTCGATCAATAATAGCCCAGTCTTTTCGCCGCGGGAATAAAAGAGCAATACAAACAAGAACGGGGAGGTGGGGGATCAAAAGTAAAGGACGGGGGAATAAAAGGGACCAGGGGCAAGAATAATGCCTGGTTCTTGGTTCTTTTCAGAAATCCAAGAAGGGGGGGGGGGGGGAGAAAGAAAGAAAATCCTAAATAACAATCTCAAACTCACAGTGACTCAAACTAGGAGTTCCTGTTTTCTGTGTCTGAACAGCAAAGAAGATAAGCCAGAAAAATGATCATGCAAAGTCACATTGGGTACCAGAGTCCTGAGAAACCGGCACAGGGGAAAAGCAGAGACATTTCCTCTCCTAGGGACAACCTTTCCCTCTCACAAAGCCCCAAATCCCAGAATTCTGTAAATTTCCGCTTTGTCCATATCTAGGGACCTAGGCAAGTCTAGAAAATTCACCCCTCATCACTCCCAAATATCACTGTCACCAGCAGGAGCTGGCTCAAAACCGGACTCTAAAAGCAACAAGAAAAAGAACTGATAGCAATTAACTTGATTCTGGACTAAAACAATTCGATCAACATTGTCATAGTTTAGTGGAAAGGACATGCTAACTTGTGGGAGTGAGCCCAGCTCCTGGACGCGCCCAAGGGCTCCCCTTTCCCAGGGCACCCAAAGCAGGTACTCAGCGCAAAAACGCACACAATGAGATTCAGGTGCGTCACGCCACAAAGATCCCAGGCAGGGGGGAAGGGAGCTGCCCCTGTCGGTGGATTCACGTCCCCAAATGACCCAAACTGGAAGAATGGGTTGACGCAGACCCCTGGGCTCCCGGACTACAGGAGCCAAACAAGACAATGGAGTCTTAAGAAGAAAAATGACAGGAAGAGCTGGAGGCGCTCATATGCCCTGGATAGGGACTGGAGAAGGGTGCAGAAATGGAGCTGCAAGTAGCGCCCGGAGAAGGGGCGTGGAGTGACTCCTGCCTGGGACATCCACGGTCACCCAGCCGCCTGCTTCCAGGCGCCGCAGCCGCGGGGCCAGCCCCCTTCCTCCGCCCGCCTGCCCTCCGGCTCCCGCGTCCCGCACCGTGTTGTAGAACTCGGCGATGGCAGGCACGATGGTGTAGTTGTCCTCGCACCAATCCACCTCAGAGCTGCCAGCCCGCAGCTGGTCCCACCAGTGCGGGGCGCCCATGGCCGCTCCGGAGCATCGGAGCAGCTTCTCCGCAGTGGCTACCGGCCCGAGAGGCTGCGGGACACACTGCGCGTCTGCCACTTTATGCGGTGCGGGGCAGCCTCCTCCGGACGCGGCGCCTCCCCGCCGGCCTCCCCAGCCCCCCGGCTGCACCCGCCCGCCACCGGCGGAGCAGACCCGCCCAGGCCCCGCCCCCGGGAGTCCCGGAGCCCGGCGGTCACGCCCACCCGGGGCGGGTCCTGACGGGCAGAGGACCCCGGAGGACGGGAGCAGTAGGGCGGGGGCGGGGTGGAAGCGGGGACTGAAGTCACCAGCTCTCTCCGGTACCGAGCTGGTGGCAAAGGCCTTGAGGGTCGCGCTTATCCGCGTGCGTCCAGGTTGTGTAAAGAACACTAGGGCGTAAATATGTAAAACAGGGAGAAAAGCACGGAGACCCGGACCCAGTTGGACTCCAAGGGAGTTCTGCTTCACTGCGCTTGGGACGCCAGTTCTCACACCTGAGGAAGGCTCTTGTTCCTCTTGAAGGCAGGATGGCTCTACCAGACGCAACTCGCTGCTGGCTAGGATAGAAGGACCCTCCTCCAGGTTGTAGCAACAGGTTCTCTGGACCCATCCAAAGCAGCTTGGGCCACCCACTCCCCAGGGGAGCGTTTCTGCAGCAATCTACACTGGTTGTCCTTTCCTCGCTCGGGCAGGACGGCCTTCTGTCCTGGCTGGAGCACCTGTAAGCAGTTCCTGAGTTTCTCTTCCAGAGACGTCCACACACCCATTGTCTCCATGGCTGGCAGAAGCTTCGGGTCTCCACCTCATGTTCACCAGGAAATTCAGCTTTATTCCCTAGGGGCCAACCCACTCCTGGCGTCTTCATTAACCCCTCTTCCTTCTCTAGAGCCACTTCTGACCGTCTCCTGGAACCCAGGGAGGAAAGCATACACTGCCACCTTCTTCTGGGGTCAGTTATCTAGCAAGAGTGAGCAGGCCAGAGCCACAAAAGAAAAAGGCACTGTTAATGTCTCCCTCGCTGCTGCGTATTGAACACCAACCGCCCAGCAACAGAACTGTCTTCTCACGTGCTCATATTTGACTAATATATAGCTTAGGTGAAAATAAGCTGCATGTGGCATCACATGCTCGTAATCACCCCCAAAAAACACTATCCACATCCACCCACTCTAATAATATAAAGGAGTTATAATATGTGCCAATTTTTTCAAATTGTGGTCCACATGGTCAAAATGTTTTATCTATATTTGCATCATTTTTGTTTTTAATTTTTTTGAGACAGGGGCCTGTAAAATGCTGGAATTTATAGGCACATACCACCACATCCAGCTTTTTTCTCCTTTTTTTTTTTAAAGGAATGTTCATTGTAGCTTTCCAGACGTGCACTGTGATATACGGACACCCAATAGAACGTGTTTGTGCATTTATAGGCATTAAATGCCTCAGGTTGAATTCCTAGCATTGTGAAAATGTTGACAGATGATAGATAGGCAGGTAGGTAAAAAAGAGAGATGCTAGACCCCCATAAACGAAGATTAATCAGGGTCCTCAGTACTTTGTTAAAGACTGATTACCCTGGAGAAGGTGTCCGTGTGTCCTCAGTACTTTGTTAAAGACTGATTACCCTGGAGAAGGTGTCCGTGTGTCCTCAGTACTTTGTTGAAGACTGATTACCCTGGAGAAGGTGTCCGTGTGAGTGTACACACATGGGGAGTGCTACACAAACCTGTTCGCTCGTGGAGAGGCTCCAACAGGGTGTCAGCTGTATACTCTACCATGCTCTGCCTTTACCTTTAAGACACGGTCTCTCCCTGAACTTGGGGTTTGCATTTCCTTGACTGGGCTGGTAGCCAGCAAACCCCAGCACTGATCCTGCGTCTGTCTCCTCAGAGCTGGGTTACTCTTATACACCAGGTGAATGACTGTACCTGTGAATGACTCGCCTGAGTTCTGGGACCTGAATTCTGCTCTTTGTGATTGCATTACAAGCACCCTTAACCACTGATTTGTCTCTCCCTGGCCCCCGTGTCCTCAATATTTTAAATATTTTATTTTTCTTTCTTTATTTATTTATTTTTATGTGCATGGGTGTTTTGTTTGCCTACATGTTTCCTGGTCCACTGCAAGTATGCAGTAACCATGAGGCCAGAAGAGGGCTATTTGGGCCCCCGGAACTAGAATTACAAATGGTTATGAGCCGCCGTGTGGATGCTGGAAATTGAACCCAAATCCTCTGAAAGAACAGCCAGTGTTCTTAACCACTGAGCCATCTCTCCAGCCCTCCACTGGAGTGCATATTGTCTGAAACAACTCAGGTTTAAGATCAAAGTCTGCTACTGTGGGAGAGAGAAAGCTCTTTCATCCCCTTTGGTCCTTATGTAGGGTCTTTGGCTAGATTTAGGATTCCAATCAATACAAAAGCTGATGGAGAGAAGCATAAAAGTTTTGTTAATTTCACATGTGCCTGCGAGTCTTCACAAGGGAGTGAAGTCTGGAGAAATTCTCAAAGAATGATATTTTTGTATTACACTAGAGCAATAACATTTTTTTTTTGAAACAAGATCTGGCTGGCCTTGAACTCACAGAGATGTGCCTGCACTGATGGAATTAAAGGCATGAGCCACCATGCCCAGCCTAAAAGCAATAATAACTTTATAAGAGAGTAGACAGTGGATCTAGGTCAGCGTTTCTCAACCTGTGGGTCACAACCCTTTTGGGGGTTAAATGACTGTTTACAGAAGTTGCCTAAGACCATCTGCATATCATATATTTACATCGCAATTCATAACGGTGGCAAAATTACAGTTATGAAGTAGCAATGAAAATAACTTTATGGTTGGGGAGCACCACAACATGAGGAGCTGTATTAAAGGGTCGAAGCATTAGGAAGGTTGCGAGCCACTGATCTAGGGGCTGCTAATAAGAGAAATATGTTACAAAAGGATTTAGGCACCAATAGAAGATTCAGCTTACACAAAGAACTTCTTTATTTGAGTTCACATCACCAGACTCTAGTTCTCTAGTCTTGGTATGCCAAGCACACTGTTCTCCCACCAAAATTTTCAGGTTTGGGTTTCTGTGGTGGTGGGGAGAGAATCTGGGACCCTAAGCATGCTAAACACATGCCCTACTACATTTCAAGCTGTCTGCCAAAGAATCCTTATGGCTTGCTGCATATAGGGGAAAGGCCGAATGGCTCTCTATGAAGGTACATTTCTTAAGTGATTTCAGCTTGAAAGGATCAATATACAAGCCCAGCATTTTTCGCCTTAACGCTCTAGCCTTTTTAACACCTTCTCGTTACACACAGTGTGAGCTGCTAGCTGTGGATGAGTGAGTGGCAGAGAACACTAAAGTTAGAGAACATTCCAGTGACACCGGTGTTGGTCCGCTGACAACTATTAAAAATTTCCTGATGCTAACAATAACTATAATGCACTAACTTAACATCAGTAGATATTGTCAGGTAACCAATTTTGAGACTGAGCTTTGATGCTTTAGCACAGTCAATAGTTTCATTCTCAATTCTGATATCTTGGGGGTAGGGGGCGGTGAGCAAAGCCTGGCTCAGTTCTATGGTGAGTTTACTTATTGAACCTTTGGTCTAAATATGAATCACTGGTACAAAGTCATGAGACCAGGATCTGGAGAGTCATCAAGTAAGCAAGCCAACATGCCCATGACATTCTAGAATTTTTTACTTACTTTACAGCAATATTTACGTAAGCAAATATCAGATAGGAATATCTAGCTCAACTGGTTCCATGAGTGAAATTTATCAAATCACAGAATCTTTATGGGGGAAAAAAAAATAGTAGGCACCTGAGTAAGTGAGGCAAGACATGCCTGATCAAGAATGAAATTCTCTGCGTTTTCCTGTTTGGCCTGAGTTCTCTGCTGCTCCGTTGTCTCAGGCTGGTGGTTCATCCTCAGGATAAGGCCAGCAACAGCAACCCCAGCTGGGAACTTTTCAGATATGCGAATTGCCCAGCGTCCACCAGAGACCTACTGGGCACTTTCAAGAAGTGTGTAAAAATGGTACACTTTCACTCTGAACTTTGAGTCTTTAAAAAGCCAAATCTAACAGTTGGTGAGTAGCTGGATGAGAGCAATGTATGGTGACAAGTATAAAGGCTGATCTTCTTTGTCACGTTGGCTGGACTTGGAATCACTGAAGGAAGTCACACCCCGAGTATGCGCAGGTCCCGAAGGCTGTGGTTGCAGACTGAATGAAAAGGGAAGCAACCAATCGGAGCACCAGCCCCTGACAGTGACAAAATATGACCAGCTTGCCTTATGCTCACATTACCACATCGTCCTTCTGTAATGGACTATATTTCTATGAACCCAAAATAAGCCCATTCCCTATGGCATAACCTTTTGTCAGATATTTGGCTACAGCAACAAGAGCAATAATTAAAACATGTATGTTGAAAATGTCATACTGAAACCCATTACTTGCTCATGCTCCTCTTGCCTCTGCCTCAGGAGTGGTAGGATGACCGCATGCACCCCCATAACTTACTCTTTGCTTTTCATTTGAGAGTCTAGGCTCAGAAATGAGGGAGAAGGCCGGTTATTACTCAGTGGTAAAGTGTATATGTATCATGTACAAACCCCTGCACCAAAAAAGAAAAGAAGGAGGAAGAGAGAAAGAGGAGGAGGAGGAGAATGGGGAAGAACAAAGAAGAGGAAGAAGAAAACAAAGTAGAAGAAGAGGAAAGGACTGAAGAAAGGAAAGAAGAAAGAAAGAAAGAAAGAAAGAAAGAAAGAAAGAAAGAAAGAAAGAAAGAAAGAAAGAAGAGAAAAGGGAAAGAAGAGAGAGAGGTGGCAGCAGAACCTTGCTATGAAACATTGCAACCTCAAGTAGGCACGTTGATTGTCGGGTCAGGTGCCTGCTACTTATTTGCTGACAAGCCCTTGATGGTTTCTAGAAGTGTCTCTCTTCTGGTTGTAATCTGTGCTTGAAAACTACAAGGTTGGGACTGGATGAAAAATAAAAAATAAGTGGTTTTGAGGTTGAGGCTTTAGGTCAGTTGGTAGGATGCCTGTCTAGCAAGCTTCATTGCCATGTATGTGAGGCCCTGGGTTT